TTTCAAATACACCTTTTTTTTAAAACGCGTTCAATTGACCAGGTATCAGGATAAGACTAAATGGTTTTGTTAGATATTTATAGCCGCTGTAACTTCTGCCACTCTGGTGTACGTATAATACAGTAGACTCTGTCTTTGCGGACACCTCTAAAGAACGGTCACCTAGAGTTGGTCCCTGCCTTTCTTTACTCCCTCTATTTGACTCTCTATAAGACGGACATCTCTCTAAGACGGACACTTGGTGCCGGTCCGATAGATGTCTGTCCTAGAGAGAGTAGAGTGTATGCGTAACGTCCCAGTGGCTCCAAAGTCCATTTATATTCCGGCACATGTTCAATTAAACATACCATTTAAACTATAATGCTTACACCAAAACACCACAGGAAGACCATCCCGCTTCATTGCGTTCCATGCTGAGGCCTAAAAAGGACCAAAGAGCTGTCGATATCTGCCACTTGTCGGGTGAAATGGTTTGACACCACCATTCATACAGAATTGGCTACATCGCGGAATTTTGGCTCTGACGTCATTGTACGGCGTTCGTACGTCTTTACCCTCCAACATGTAAGCGATTATGAAATGTCACTTTCAATTGCATGCCGCGTTAATTTTTTTGGCAGGATATTGCATGGAAACCTGCGGTTTCTTGGCGGGAATCGCATGTCCAAAGGCTTAAGAGTAAGCGTTTATTGTTCCCTTCCACAAAAGCTTAATGTAAAAAGTTACTAGATTTATTGTTTTAAGAAAACGGTTAGTCTTTTTGTGGGAGCTACCCTTTTATAATTGGCTAAATTTTATTTTTAATTCAGACAGATTTGAATCTAACATTAGCAAGGAAATCGATGTTAAAGCAATTTTAATCGTACCTTTCGTTACGACCGAGACAAAAAAATCAGTTACTCAAGCATGCTTCTGCTGCCGCGGGGGAACGAAGTAGTTTTCTGGTTAATCCAGCCAGAGGTTGAAAAAATTGCACGTGAGCCGTGCCAAACATTGATGAACATGTGCAATCTCTGATTGGTTGAAAGGACAACACGCTTGTTTGTAAAAAAGGTGCAATTCGTGTTAGATCTCGAATGTGTACTTTGAAATAGTTTATTTAGATAACATGACGCATATTGGCGAGGTTATAGTGAACAGTATAGGCCGCACACCGTAAAATTCCGAAAATAAGTCCCTCCATGTATTGATGGGCTCCTGGCCCCTCCCAATATAAGCCCCCCAAACTCGTAACGCAAAAAACCCTCCGTTAAATCCCCCCTCCAAATATAAGCCCCCCGGGGGGCTTGTACTTGGAAATTGCCCTCAAATACAAAGTAAAACAAAGCAAAAACGGTAAATTTCCTTCCAACTATAAGGTTAGTCCAATCGATTTTGAAACGCAAATTTCCCTCCGTAGATAAGCCCCTCCAAAAATATGCCCCTCAAAAAGGGCCTTTGAAAAATATAAGCCCCGGGGCTTATTTTCGGAATTTTACGGTAATTTAAAGAGTTTTTAAATTACAGAGTTTTTTAGTATTTTATCATTTACGGTCAAAGCGATTACAGTATCACATTTAGATAAAATTTATCAAAGTGAAGACTACTAGATAGCGTGTATTGTTTGTAGTCACTCCGTTTTTAAGGTGAATATTTACAATTTGTCACATCACACTCGATAGTTTTGAACATCAACTACTAGTACAATCTCGACCCCAGAACTCTTCTGCGCATGACGGCCAGGGAGGAAAGAGCTGTGGGGAACCCTGGAACAAGGCTGCCTCTGATTGGTTTTAGTGGAGAAAAGAAACAAATAAACAATAAACGTGTTTCTGAGTGGTCCAATCAAGTTTACACGAGAGCGGGTGAACGTGTGGCATGTGAGTGGGTTTTCCCCTGGAAATCAGTGTTGCAGTAAAGACGCCCGGCCGATTCTCGAAACAACATTTGCACGACTACTTAGGCAGAATAACTGGATTTTCCAATTTTCCAATAATACATTAGCTACATATCGAAAACGCTGTGTAGCAGAATGACGATGACTATCACATTTTCTTGCCAAAATGACGCTGGTGACGAGCGCTTACTACTTAGTATTGAGAAAATCTCGTACTCGTAGTCGTACTCTTCTTAGAATCTAAGGAGCGAAGAAAGGCTTCATTAAAGGAGAAGCACTCGGGCTTCTAAGAACTTATTCCTCTCAAATCACTTTTGGAAAAAAATATCACAAATTTCGAAAATTGCCCTGATAGAAAGAGGCCACCTGGCCGCTATTGTAAGAAAGTTATGTACCTCTCTGAGGTAAAATTTGCCGACAAGAAAACAGCCCCATCAACCGAGAAACAAATCCACCCGTAAAAAAACTACTACCTTTTGTTACACAATACCACTAGCTTAACCTAGCCTAACGAAAATACCAATGAGGAAATTGCACCTTATACAGAACCAACAACGGCTAAGATAAATCTTTATGGAGCCTCCCCTCATATCATATCGCAAAGGAAATCATTGAGGACCTATTAGTTAGAGCGAAGCTCTGAAGGTCAGATGACTTCCTTTACGACCAAATGCATTAGTCCAGTCTTGTGTTGCCTGTATCCTGGACACCAAGTCGTGCGTATTAACTCGACCCTCTCGAATTTGTTGCGTTTAAATAGTGGTGTTCCTCAAGGAAGCATTCTTGGGCCGCTTCTTTTTAGTATTTACATTAACGACTTACCTTCTGTTCCTAGAAACTGTTTAACGCAATGTTACGTAGATGACACTAAACTTCAGATTTCTTTTAAGATGCGTGATTGTCCGACTGCTATGAACGATCTAAATAGCGACCTTCTTTTAATACGTAATTGGTGTTTTAACAATTTTCTACTTTTAAATCCTGACAAAACAAAACTCGTAGTCTTTGGAAGCCGACAACTACTTGCCAAACTCCCCGACTTCAAAATATCTCTTCTAGGAAAAGATCTCGCTCTTACATCTTCGGCCAAAGATCTTGGGGTTGTTCTAGATCCGCAACTAACGTTTGATGACCATGTTTTAAAAACTACGTCATCTTGTATGTCAAGCCTCGCACAAATCAGTCGGGTTAAACATGTTCTTGACCGTAACCAACTGGTGACAGTAATAAATGCCCTAGTCTTTAGCAAATTACTGTACTGTTCCACAGTGTGGTCGAACACCTCGAACAAAAATATCTGTAGACTACAGTCAGTGCAGAACTTTGCCGCGCGCATTATTACAGGTACCAGGAAATTTGATCATATAACCCCCGCACTAAGAGATCTACGTTGGTTTCCAATTAAACAAAAGCTGTTCTTCCGCGACGCTCTCATGGCATTTAAATGCATGACTGGTCAAGCTCCACATTACCTCAGCGATCAATTTACAACAAGAATTGCGGTCACCGGGCGCGTGACTCGAAGTTGCCAATTATTAAACATCCCCTTGTATAAGTCGAGTACCGGACAGAGAACATTCCACTACCGTATGGTGCACATTTGGAACAATCTAGACAGTACTCTTAAAACTGCAAAATCGATTTCTACTTTTAAATTTTATTTGAAAAATAAATTGATTACTGACTTTTTAAATAGCACGTTATGATAGTATTTTAGTATCTTACTAGTATCTTCTTTTATTATAATTTTAACTTAAAAATATGCATATTGTATAGTACGTAGTGAGAATATTTATTATTCGATTAACTCTTAAATAGGTATGTTTATATTGCTTTTGTTCACCGCACTCTTTCCTTTTTAATTGAATTGTTAACTACTTCTCTTATCTTAATTAGTAGTCGCATTGTCACTGAAAAGCCCCACCAGGGGAGTGTCAATAAACTATTGTATTGTATTGTATTGTATTGTAACCTAAGATGTGTCAAGTTTGATTCCATGCTTTCCCGGTTAAGTCCGACCAACGAGTCCCAGGAGACCCAAGGGGATCGCATTGACGTCAAAATCCCAATCACGCATTCCTTGTCATCAAGCAACTTAAAAAAGCCCTATATTACCCTTCTCATCGATATCTCCCTACTCCCACAACATTTCATTTTCTCCCTCCTACCTACCTTTTCAACCCCGATTTCTCCCTCCTCCTTATTCTGTACTTCCTTAGCACGCGCGTGAACCAGCGTCAATTTGGCGGGAAAACGTCAGAGCGGTTGTCATTCTACAACGGGTTTAGCGAGAATGTCGTAGTGGCGCTGTGGCGAGATCAAGTTATCAAATGAAAGAAGTTTTATCCTTTGGCTGTCGGGAGAGGGCTTCACCTCCTTCAGTATAAATAACCGTACTAACTTTTTTGGTGAAAAGAAAGTAAAATGAGGCGTTCCGGGGCGTCAGCTATTATTTGAGAACACGCGCAAAAATCTCGTACTCATACTTGTTCTCGTCCTCAAATCTAAAGCTCTCTATTATAGTCAAACTGAAGAACACTGATTTCTGACCCACAAAAAACTTACGAAAGCCCTAGGCCTATCTGTACAAGCATGAAAATCATGGATTACATTGTGTTCTTTACAAGTGTTTTTGTTTTTTCAAGCTTAGGGACTGAACGGCAACAAAGTTATTCTGCGATTTATTAGAAACACCTGAAAGCCGGAGAGTACTCCCTGCCGGTCACATGTCGACAAAGCCAATTTTCAGCCGGCTAGAGAACACTTCGGAATCATTTGTGCCAAACTGTTCACATAACAACTGAAAGTCAGCCTGCCATATCTCACTATAAAAAAAGTCAGTCAATTCTGTCATTAAAATTTATCACATGGAGGCATCTCAGTAGTCAACAAAGCGTTCGGCAACTTTGATATTGTCATTTTTATTTTTAAATATTTCTTTTTACAATCTGTAAAAGTGACCATGGATTTTGTGAGCGCTGATTTTTCGGCGGGTTACAGGTTTTTAAATTTCTAATATGGCCATTCCACAAGTTTTAAATACGGTTGTGTTGTCTACTGATGTGAAAAAGTTGGGTTGTATATAACGTTAAACATGCCTCAAATATCATTCAACCTCCTTCAATCAACGGATCCACAAGTTTAATGAATAAGGATCATTTGGAGACCCGAACCAATCTTCAGCGTCGTTTCCAAAGTCATATTCCCCTACCCATCCTTGTGCTTCGAAAGAAGCGTGGTTTGCTTCTGTTATTCCAATCCCGTGATCAGCACGTTCACAGCCTTTTCCTCCACCACCAATCATCATTACTGATCCATCTTTACTATAGTGACACCAAAAGCTGATCTTGTTGCTCTTGGCGAGACTGCCATTACACTCAGCCTGTTTAAACCCCTCTGTTGTCTTGTACTGACCGCCATATTTCACGGTGCAGTTTCCCAGGCACCTGTAACTGGACCAAACCTTGCGATATCTAAAGACGCCATAACTTGTTATTTTTGATCGAAATGTTTGTTCTCCCAAACAGTTCCCTGTGGTCTGCAACAGTGGCGCATGACTGGAGTCATCACTGCGTGTGATCCTAAACTCTCTACCGCTGACCAACCAAAAAGCTGGCGAGATCATGTCAGCATTGACTGACGGATCAGTTGTTGTTCCCATGGTAACGTTTTGGTCATACCACCAGTGTCCATCGTCTTGCATCCAGTTCCTGGTGTCGCGATTTGAAAATCTTGCTATAAGAGTCCAGTGTGAACCTTGGGCTGTAACGTCACAGTATACCTGTGTAAAATTGAGGCAACGGCGTATCAGATCACAGTCAATAGATAAAAATGTTTTCAGGAATCGAAGTTGAGATGAGGTTTTTCCTGTCTAAATGAAAATAAAAAAAGTACTAATTGTCTTTTTTCAAGGCCAATCAGACGTAGTGTTTTTATAAATATGGGCTTACGGAGTTGGGGAAAAAGCTTGCAAGTTTTATACTTTTAACCTTACCTGAAATTTGTTTGAGTTTACTTTTAAGTCATATGTTCCGTTTCTTGCGGAATGGTTGGACAAAGCAGCTTTGCAGGAATCTTAAAATTGAGGTAAACAACACCAATTTAACTTTAAGCAGGAAAAATTAATCTGCTCATTGTTTAACACTGGTTTAATTTTGATGTACTCTTATTTACATAAGAATTTTAACGGTGCTCAGTTGAGTCTTGCTCCATATACTAATACCCGCCAGGAGCTCCTAGTTGTGGGATTCTGTAACCGCCGGTTTTATTCTCTCGCTATTTTATCGATACCTTTAAAATAAATTACAAAACAAAGACTGAACTGTTGGAAATATTGATCGTGTACTATCCGCTTAAAGAGGTTCGACTGCTTTTTAGGCTGTATAAAAGTATTGTGTTTCCGTGGAGGGGTGGTGGCCAAGCAGTTAACTCCTCGAAATTCTGGAAAAAATTCCCAAACTCGGGCCTGTTCAGCAGTTTAAATACAACTTGCAGCTTGTTTTAATTAATACCTGGTTTTCTTTGGATACTCAAGGTAGTGACAGCCGAGACTGAACCAAGTTTGTTTTTCACCGTGCAAACGTATTTTCCAGTGTCTACAGCAGAGAAGTCTTGAATTGTCAATGTTCCGTTGGTAACACTGCTCCGCCCCTTTGGCAAAGCTACCAGAGGTCCCGTCCACGTGACCACAGAGGGTGGATAACTGAAGGCTTCACAAGTAACTGATGCTACTGCATCTTCTTTTATAACAAGAAAAGGTCCTGGGACTCTGGTGAATCGCGGGCTAACTGTGAAATAGAAAATTGTCAGTGAGTTTATCAGTCGAGCCTCAAAGACAATTCATTGTATTTCCTTTGGATTTACACTGGTTCACTTTGCGATTGACTATTGACATATTTAATTTATTTCTATCTTAATTTTATCCTCACTATGATAATTGTGAAGCGGGTAAGAGTATTTTCTAAATTTAAGAATTTTTATTATTATTATTATCATCATTATCATTATTATTATTATTATTATTATTATGAAAGACGACAAGCAATAATATTATATAATTGATTTTGTGTCATTTTAGGATATCTGATTTCTGACCTTCTTTCGAATCAAACCTGGACATCATCACTTTTTAATTGCTAGTGAGTCGATCAGTAAAAACACCTTTTAGTGATTAAACTGACGATTACTGGTAGCAGTGAATTCAGAAACTAATGAAGTTAACACTGACTTGGCTCCTGTTTGAATTGAAATCAAATGGAGAACGAAAATCGCGTTAATTTTCAGAAGCCACTCACCTCCAACAATAAGCTTAACAATTTTCTCATCTCGCCCCAGTATATTAACTGCAGTGCACTTATACTGCCCAGAGTCATCTAATGTCGGGTGTATTATATCAAGCCTCCTGCCATGACCCACTTTCACAGAACCATCTCTCAAGGAGCCGTTCACCTTGGTCCAGGTCACCGTAGGCTGCGGGTTGCCGTTGGCCGAGCAGTGAAAAGTAGCAGTCTGGTTCTCTCTCACTGTCTGTGTGTTAGGTAATACAAGCACTACAGGCTGAAGAGGAATCGTTTTTTCCGTCATCCCTCCGGGTGCCACTGCTCCTGTTGAGGGATTGTAATATTCAATTTCGTTATTCAAATGCCCTTCGTTATAATTCCATATTATAACGTGATTTACTTGTAGAAGAGTGATTTTATTTGAGTATAAACGGTGTTAAAAAATATTCATTTAAAAACGGGAACAAGCTTCTTTTAATCAGAAGTCATCTGCCGGTTCCTATTCAATGACACAACGGAAAAAGTTCCTAAAACTAAACAAATTGAAGTTTTTGAGTAAATGAAGATATGTAGAGTAAGTGCAAGTGGCCAGGGAAAACAGGTTGCCGTAATGAACCAGAGCAATCTGTTTGGAATTTATCCTGGATTAAGGCAAAGTAACTTTTCGGAAACAGTGCCCAGCACCTCTAGCATCATTGGTCAGTGAGGAATAAAGACATACGCTGTCGGGCGGAGCCTCCACGTATAGGCCATTTTAGGGAGTGCCCCCCCTTCAGGGGGGGGGGGGGGGGGGAGGACAAGGACTTTTTCACCCACCTGAGGAGCAACCTCGTTCAATCTCCCTCTCGATTCCATGGAAAAGTTTTATAACCCTTTCCCCCTCCTTCCTTATCTCGTCTTCTTCTTTTCCTATCGGCAGGTAACAAACTGCAAAACAGTTATGGCCATTAAAGACCCGCGTTATCATTATTGTCTAATAGTTACAATCACTAATCAGACAATCACGCCCCCCCCCCCGGACATGATCATATAATCTTAATCTAATTTAATAAGATCATAATCGCATTACAATCATAACGGAATTTTTATGACATCAGTTTCAATAATTCCAACTGTCTGATAAACAAAAGCAAAGTTTAGCCGCTGCCATTTACATCTTATCTCCTCTCGTCTTTCAAAGAATCGCTTTATTGAATTATTAAGGAGGGGGGAGGGTTTGGGGATAGGGGTTTACTGTTCCATTTTATTCCGTTTGGGATTATAAGTTTGTTACTGAAAATTATGATCAGTTCATGTTTTATTTAACAATTAATGAATGAGGCTGAGTATCTTATGAAGAATTATGGAGATCGAGGAGGGTGTTATCAAAACCCTCCGAGATAACACCATCCGAGATCTCCATAATTCTTCATATGATACGAAAGCCGAATTCAAGAATTGTTTTATTATTCATTCAAAATAATTCCTATTTTAAAAACAAAGCTAAACTTACCTCCATCGATGTTAAGTTCACCTTCGATAGTGCACGTTTAGGGTTGTTCAGCTCCGCAAATATTCTCCAAATGGCAGATGTCGCCCTAAGAGTTGTGTTCTTGCTGTTCTTGCCATGTTTTTAGCAATAATTTCGCCTAGTTCCAGCTGTAGTTTTTACTCGTGAAACGAGTGAGGTGTCCGCCATTTTTATTTTCACAACCAAAACAACTCAGACTCGTTCCCACGGTGCCTTAACCTCTAAGAACGCTGCAGTTTTGACGTCATTTCCTCGTTAAAGTCAAAATTCTTCCAAATTTGGTCATCAGTAACTGGTTATGGTGAATTATGCGTGTGCTTTTAGCCAATCAGAATTGGGGAAATATTTTGAAGGAATAATAATAGATGTTATATCTAAATTTCACAGTGGCAAAAAATAATTACCGGGATTATCGCCATGTTCCATCATCATCGTTGGTGATATGATTACGGAAATGAGGATCAGAGTTTTGATAACAGCCATCACCGACCAAAAATACCTGCTAATGAATTTAAAATTAATGTTTTCAGATAATGTAAATGGGTATAGAATTCCTTAGGCTCGTTATAATTTACTGAGGAATTGTGAAATTATTGCTATACGTACTAAAGGTTACCTTAGTTACTTTGAAACTGACCTTTATTGAGCGGTCAACCTAAGTGTGTTTTCACTCTTTTTTAAAAAAGATCAGTTTTGTCAAGATATCAGACCACGCTAGTCGTGCAATAGATCAGCACTGAGGCGACTGAGCATAAGTAGAATACAGTGGCGTAGGAGGTTGAAAGTATTGACATTATTTGCGGTCGCCTTGTCATCAGTTCTAAGGATATTTCGCTTCGTCACCATTTTTATTTTGTTAGGTTTGTCAAAATCTGTATTAAGCGGTTGGTTAATTTTGGCCATTCCACAAGGGTGATCGTTTAATACAGGTTTGTCTGTACGCTAAAATGACAAACAGGACTGTATTTAAAAGAAACAAAAGTTTGCCTCTGAACGCCGACGTTATACTCCTTGAAACTAAAATCTGTTAGTATACCGTAAAATTCCGAAAATAAGCCCCTCCATGTATAAGCCCCTCCAAATATAAGCCCCCCAAACCGGTAACGCAAAAAAACCTCCGTTAAATCGCCCCTCCAAATATAAGCCCCGCGGTGGTTTGTACTTGGAAAATTGCCCTCAAATACAAAGTAAAACAAAGCAAAAACGATAAATTTACTTCCAGCTATAAGGCTAGCCCAATCGGTTTTTTAAACGCAAATTTCCCTCCGTAGATAAGCCCCTCCAAAAATAAGCCCCTCAAAAAGGGCTTTTGAAAAATATAAGCCTCGGGGTTTATTTTCGGAATTTTACGGTACTAGAATTCTTTGAAGTAAGACACGATGTGTCGTCTTATTTTTGGGAATTTGTCTTTCTAAAATGAATTAACCTAAAGCTTGTCTTTATAACAGCTAACAACATGTGCCTAGAATTAAAGCAATTAAATTTAGATAGTCTTGGGTGGGGGTTAGGGTTAATATTAGATAAAGGTTTATTCATGACTATCTATTAATACGTAAAAACAAAAAGTGGAATTAAAAAAAAAAAGGATCCTCATGATTTAACCCTAATCGATCAGAATTGTTACTGTATGATTAAAGTAAGACTAAACTTTGTACCTACTCAACTTTCTTTAGAGCTTTATGATACTGCCTTCCAAGTTCATCAAAAACTTTTTAAAATAATCGTCTACTTCAGGCTTGCAATGACGACAACGACGGCAACGAGAACGGCAAAATAGCAAACGGTTTAGACAGTAAAACAAGACTGACTTTGCGCGTGTATCACGCTTCTTTTGTACACTTCTTTTCCGTCACTGCACTAATTCGACGTGAAAATGCCTAATTTCACGTTTTGTGCACGAGGACGTGAACACAAGACAACGACTTCCTCTTTCTTTTCCTGAACTACGATACAGTGCTTTAGAAATGAACGCCAGAAAAATTTGCCAACATTTGACGAATTAAAAGAGAGAAAATAAGCTCGATAAAGTTTGAAGCAGCGTGAATTCACTTTTTAAATGCCGTTTTTGTAGCCATTGCCGTCGTTGCTGCTCCCTTATGACAAGCGTACCTGTAAGAGAGTTCTACTGTTCTTTTTTTTCTTGGTAGATGTTCTATACTTGACACTCAAGTTGTCCAGCAAAGGAAGTCTTCAACGGGGTCAAAGTTGTTTGCTTGAGTAGTTTTCCTTTCTGTTACCAACCGCCAAGATAAAGATTCAGAGCCGGTCCAGAGATATAAGGAACAACGAAGCTAATTTGAGACGGTGCGATAACTTATTCTCAATCCCAGCTGCTGTGATAATTGACGCTCGAGTGAAATTCAAACTATATTAATTATCAAGCTCTTTAAACATCGCGAAAACTTTTTGTGGAACAGATGCCTTTAATTAACTCGCCTAACAGAAACAATTTTTTGTGAAGTGATAAGCCAGTTAAGGCAAACTATGAACTTCTCGGAAAGACCGTGAAGGATTTGCAGGTTAGCCTGTCTTTTACTCTTCATTTACTAAGCGGAGATATGTAGTATTCTAAATGCATTTAACACTTAATAACGCGACGGAAGAAGATAAGTACAAAGATAAGGGAATTAAGGATGAGTTTTCAATTCTATACTTTACATCCAATATAATGTGTTATGTAAAACACTTAAGCCTGTTTTAATCGGATACCAGTTAGTGTCCCAGGGTCGACTTTATATGTTCAGCACTGAAAGAGTTCAAATTAATGTTTACTTAGTTCGCTATTTAAGTAGGAGTGTGCTCGCGGAATATTTTTTCTGGCAATCTTCACTCAAAGAAACTCTTGACGTGAAGGATTCTGGATCTTTGGAAAGACGCCGCATCTCTTCCTGCCGGGGAAGATAGAGTTAATTGAATCGTTTCTTATCTTATCTTATTCGTTTTAAGTAAAGCAGATATTTAATATTTTAATGTTTTTTCTTGATGGGCCCGAAACTATTTATATTCGTGTTGGTTATGTTTTTGATTTGCGTTTTTCAGGATGAAAGATTCAACCGATTTCTATGATTTTTGGCATCCTCAATAAACAACAGTGGAACTTTAAGAAAATGTTATTTATTTTCTTGTAGGTATAAAAACCTTTGAGATATCGGCATATATTTAAAACGACTAAATGACCCCGAAATCTCACGACAGATTTTTCCCTAACTTCAGCAAATAAGCCTCAGCGCTCTCTAGTTTTACATCTGCAAGTTTGAAGGCAATCGTAACCGTAGAACTTGCTGCACAATGTGCTGGTCAAATTTAACCTTTAAATGCTATGCAAACACATTTGTGAAAGTTGACGCACAAATAGAGGAAGACTGCTGACAGACTATCTACTATCTGAAAGGATATTCCCACCTAAAGTTTCATTGCAAGAAACAGAGTAACCAGAAACCTACGGCGAATACAGTTAGCACTTTAAGAAGAACAACTTTATGCTGAGTGCGTGGTGATGTTAAAGAACTTCTATTCATCAAACTTACTTTGTATTCGTCCCTCTCTTTCAGAAACAAATCTTAACAAAGCAAAATATAGTTCCTACTGTACGAAAAACTGTCAAGCGTTTTTAGCGTCGCAGGTTCCCGTTTTGAAGAGAAATAAGGTCACCAACTCCAGTACTTCTAACCATCCATTTTTCAGCTGCAAGGAAAACCCTTGTATTTGGTAATTTATTCACGCTTTTAAGACTTCCCATCACGTTTGCACGGGCAATTTGCTGTTGGCGATAATGAGAATAATAAGACGATTGTCATATTTGTCTTCACCTTGACAGCTATGTCGAGAAAGGTTGTCGGAAAAATATGCAAGCAACAATCCCGAAAGGTAATATGGGATATGATCAATACACTGTTTCTGACAACTGTACCTGTCGAACCTACTTTTCTAGTCTGTCATTATACAGCATTCTTGTTCAGCACGCGTGCAATGACCGCGCTTGGCTGACTTCCGAATATGATAATTTTGGTACAGTGAGACAGGCCATCGCGTGATACATAGAGGTTTAAGTCACAATTTTTAATCAATTCTCGTGCTTCTTGTGCCTTTGCAAAAAAATCAAGAAGTGCTACACACTAAATCTACTTACTATTAAAAAAATATCATTTTTTCATAGGTTTAATGCAAGCCAATAATTAAACCAACTCGTGACGGGAATATCTCGGTGAGCATTCGGAAGTCAGCCAAGCGTGGTCATTGCACGCGTGCTGAACAAGAATGCTGTATAATGACAGACTAGAAACAATAGACAACTCCCAAAGCACAAACTCAGCCAAAACGCTAAAAATCTTCAATGTTTACTCAAGTTTGGGCTTATAGAAGATAATGTCACAGTTTTTCAATGACCATGAAATTCAGAGTCCGGGTAGTTAGTTAATCAATTGTGGCCCTGAAAAAATTTGAAGGAAAAAAAACTACGAATTTTTAAGAAAATGCTTTTTTCGTGAGAAGGACTCTTAAACGCTGACAAACGTCAACAAATAGCGAAAACTATAATTTCTATATGTTTGCTTTGCTCGAAATCGCGCGCATTTACAAGGCCCTAAAGCGTTTTGCTGACTTGCAAGGACCCATCTGTTATAACGATGCCCAAAATAAAGAGATGAATCTCATAGTTTATTAGATATAATCCGTGTAAAGTTTGCTTATCATTTTCGCATAAATTATGACCTAAATTTGGAAACCGCTGAATTTCTCGAATTGGGTCTTTGCGATTTTGGTGAAACTCTGTTCAGCGCAAGGTACTAATGCGCACTATGTGTAACCGAGAGATTTTCACGAAAAAATGCTGGCAACAGCAGATTTTCGACTCAGACCTTAAAGGGGCGTGGCATTATAACCACGTGACATTTACTCCGATCGCCAAAAATTTTATGTTATATTGTAGATTGATCTATATGTTATCCATTTTATGTGTTATACTTACGATAAAAGTAAAGGTGGGGGTACCAGAGAGCTTCAAAGTAGGATGGTACCCCCTAAAAAAACTGGGTCGAGTCACCTTAAGCGACGTTCTTGTCGCCGTCGCGTCGTTGGATCTTAAAGTCCCAATTTGTAATGTTAGGCTTATATTAAAGAAACGTTTTAAGACGTCATAGACGTTCAGTTCTCCTTCTTCTTTAATAATATATAGATTTAGCCGGGGCTAAAAGCGGAAAGCTAAGGCTAAGTGATTCTAGAGTGAAAAAAATCTTACATCGAATTGATAGCTGTATATATACACCCAAAAAATAGCAATCATCTTCGATCACATTTAAGAGCCATAATGGCTCTAGATCACAGTAGATTATACGCCTGGAAAACGAATTCTTGGAAAACAAATCAGGCCGAATTTTTGCGTTCGACAAGTTTACTCAACAAATCTTGCCAACAACTCTGGGTGCGTGTAAACCAAATGGCGCTGTTTTTATTATACAGACCTCAGACAAAATGCAGTATTTCGT